CGCTTTCCTGCCAAACAATTTACATATTTTCTTTTAGGCGTCCACGTGAAATCCAAGCATACGGGGATGATGATACTAAAATGAGAAGGTCGCGTATGGGGTCGGTGCATACTCCCAAACTTTCAGCTTCCTAGCTTCTCTGGTTCTCGAGTTGAAAGTGGATAACAAAAAGTGCGAACACACAGACGCGGAGCACACACACACACACACATATACACGCATACAGTCAGTCAAAGGTTGAAGAGAAAAATCAAGAAGGAAAGAAAACAAAGAAAATGAGGGAAAGGGTGGTAAGATGGAAAAGGTGACTAAGGAAACATTCGTCATAGAAAAAAACGTTTCGGTCCATTAAGTCGTATACATTTCTTACCGTTACCACAATTGGACCTCGTCAGTACGACGATTGTGGTAACAAAATAATTTAGTGAGGTACAGAAATTAATTAGAATAAAAGAGATAGAAAACAGAAAGAAATGAAAGAAATGGAAGACCGGAAATAAGAAAGTAGAAGAAATAGAAAAGTTGTAAAATTATAAAATTATAAATTCTAAATTTTTACCTGTTTATTACTCATTTCATCCATCACTTGCTTATCTCGTTTAATTATAATATCGATAGACTGAGTCGTTCTGTGAAAATTACGCATATTTGTAGTTGTACTTAAGTATTAGATTGTACATAGATGATGAAGTGCGTGATATTAAAAGGTGTAGTATGTAATGTTAGAGATAAAGCGCACATATAAAATGACTTCAAAGCGCACATGATTTCAAGGCGCGATGTAATGGTAATTTCAAAGCGCACATATAAAATAAAATAAAATGTAAGAATAATAGTACATAGTACAATGAAAATCTTTGAAAGTGTTTATAAATATACATATTATATACGTGCAATCCAATTTGTAAAAGTCGTTGTATCAAAATTTTATATTATTAGAAATGGTTTTTATATAGAGTACGGGTTTTAAACTATATACATATATATATATGTATGCATATATATATCAATGTCAATGTAAAATAAAATAAAATAAATTTGTTTATGGAAAATAATGTAGGATAATATAATAATATAACAAATGATAAAAAGAAAATGTAAGAAAAAGGAAAATAACAAGGCAAGAATTGAAAAAAATGCAATCAAAAATGCAATTTCTTGTCAGTGTGCATTTTTGCATTGCAAATGCATGATCGCAGTGACAAGAATTGAAGAATAAATATATTTTATTATGAGTTTTTGCACACTTATGCAAATGCAACCCACGGTGCAGCGCACTAGGCTTGCCGGTGTGATCATGCATTTTTGCGCTAAACTTACAGGCCGTTAACATCAGGAATGGTTCTTGCGCTATAGTTTAACACATGAACTCATACTGGCTGTGTTTTGGCCTCTTTACGCATGCAGGCGGAAAAGACGTTGGCTGGGATGAAGGTGTTGCATTGTAGGGTTGCGTGGTCCTACAGCGTGCATATTTATCAGTTCTTTGTATGAAGCCCAGTCTTTTATCCAGTGAATGCTTGTTCACTGAAAAAGTGCAAATTTGAAGGAAGTCGGGACAGGGTTACGAAATCCACAAAATAAGCTCGTTTTCAAGTTTGCGTTAAAATTGAGTATTTTTATGTCCGCGTACAAGGGATTTCATCTCCAAGCTGAATTAAGAACATACATGAAAATAAAACATCCTCGCAAAGTTTCAATTTCGCAGTGTCCCAAGTCGTGACGCAAGTACAAATCGATGCTCAATTTAGATATACGATCACATGGACGGCAAATATTCTGACAGAATTTCAACTACTGTTTTCCGGCAAGTTTTAGAATGAGCACATTGCTAGCAGCGAACTGACATGGCAACTCGCATGGTGCAACATGCGGGGTAGCTGAAATTGAATTCTTTAGCACATGCATGCACGAAGAATATCTCTGCAAAGTTTCAGCTTTCTATCTCGTCTGATTCACGAAATCCACTTCCGCGATTAAATTTGCCTGTCTTTTCGAAATTTATCTGAATTTGCCTATTTCCGTACACGAATCATAGGCGCATATGAGCGATGATTTTAAAACGGGAGGTTGGCACATGAGGAGGGAATATGACCTCAAAATTTCAGTTCCCAGCTTTTTTGGTTGCGAAGTTGGAAGTGATCGGGACTTCTATGGCAATTCTCATGATTATGCAAATTCCTACATGCCAGATCTGGACTTCTGTGGCAATTCCCATGATTATGCAGATTTGCAGTATCACGGTATTGCTACTAGCGAGCAC